ATAGTCTTTTGTCTGCTGGACATTCAATGCAAAACAGTGCAATGGATCAATCCGCTGGTGCTGGGTAAGTAGGATGTTTTAACATAGACATTTGCTTTTTAAAATTTAATAACCAGTCATTACTGCAATAATAACAGTATTTTTAGTGATTTATAGGACAACTAAGATGCCAGCGTCTGAATGTCATCATATATTATGTACACAATAGACAGCTTGGATGCTAATTTTATTTTACTCGTTAAATAATTCAGATCAACTAGATCTAGAGTATTTGGCACCCCCAAAATATGAGCTCAAATAACATGGAAAGTAGTTTATGAGTCCCCTATTTATAGTTGTGTCTCCTAGTTATGTTAGGAGCCTCCTAGTTAGTTTTTTTTTTATTTTAGAGTGCCCCTAGTCATATTAGGAGTCCCTAGTCTGTGTACTTTCCATGTTATTTGAACTCGTATTTTGGGAATGCCAGATTCTCAAATTGATCCAATAGTATAATGGATTTTTAGGTGCATAAGATGGTTCAACTGCTGCACAAACTGATTAATATTATCGTTATGCACTAATTTCATAGATCTACTGTCCATATAAGGTATGATCATGAGGCAAAATTAATGACTTGATATTCATTTGATCATTTATGTGCATTGACAATTGACTCTAATTTGGTTAGTCAAAATGAGGCTATTTGGCAGTCCTGCTTCGTCAATAGGGAAAGTTTAAAGGGCACATTAATTTATGCATGGTAGCTGATGCTAAAGTTTTCTGCAGATATGTGAAAACACTGTAGTTATTGGTTAGTCACACTTATTTTTAACAAAATAATTATATTGATGTATATATATCTACTTAGGCAGCTCTATTTTGGAATTTTTCAGGACTAAAAAATTTATTGGTTGATTGTAATTACATGACCTACTATGATTCATCTTGTTCCCAACACATGGTGCTGCTCTATAGTGTGAAAGTAAGTTAATAGGTATCAGTACCGTATAGCGGGAAATTTTGGAGGGAATTAAATTTGGCGAATTTGGCGTTATGATAGCCATTCGCCAAAATTAAATCCGCCATTTTGAGCCATTATACGCATGCTCAATGGCACATGGCCACCAATTCGCCAAATTAAAATCCGCCAATCACCAAAATTTAGCAATTCACCAAATTTTAGTCCCTCCAAAATTTTCCGCTATACGGTATATCAAATAGTAATACTAGTACTAGTAATAGGTTATGCCACAAAACTATAAGTGCAACTTTGAACTAGACTTTACCGGAAGAATAAAGATATATTATTAGAATCCTAGTGGCAGCTTCTGCACACTGTAATTATAAAGGTCAGGTACTCTCCTTACAGTTCATTATATACATATGCATGTAGTTATGAGGTTTTCATCACCAAATAGTAAAAAAGCTAGCAAAAGTCAGCAAAGTAGTTGTTTGTTTGTCTTGTAGAAGTTATGATGTGGCAAAATTTTGCCACAAAATTTTGTATAATGCTCAACTTCTTGTCAGTTGATGCATTTAGTTGTTCCAAAATTGGTTGAGGTCTTTGGCTGAAAATTCATCAAAATTAATGATTAATTTTTTTAATTTTTAAACTTGTTTGATGCACATACATGTTCTTATGTTGTGTAGAAAATTTGAGCTCATTCTAATCAAAATTGGATTTTTACAAATTTTAAGCTGCTGAAAATATCAGGCCAAAAATTTCATTATGGTCTTTGGCTAAATTTTATCAAAATGACTAGGAGAGAAGTAATCATTTTCATAATTTTCCCAATGCATGCATCTACATGTTCTGATATGGTGTAAAAAAATTTGAGCTCATTCTAATCAAAATTAGATTTTTATGGAATTCCTAAAATTGCCCAGAAACCCAAGTACTATTGTCGTACTTTCAACTCATGAAAGTGATAATTGAAGTTAAGCGGTCTGAGAGAGAGAGAGAGAGAGAGAGAAAGCAAGAGAATACTGCAGTAGAGTACAGTATACAATAAGCAATAAGTAATCACAATAGAAAAAGCTTATATACACAAGACTTAATTACATACCAGTTACTATGGTGATTACAAAACACTTACTAATAATGTAAACACACATCAGGAATAAGATTAACATGGCCTAACAATAGTATACATGTACTAACACATACATTACCTAATAAGAATCATACACACACACACACACACATTAACTTATTTAATGTACTTTTTCCATGAAGTATATGTAATTAGTAGTGCCCATTCTATTTATAAGCCACCAGTAGTAGACTATCCCATTCCTTTAATGATACATGATCCACCAGTAGTAAACTATCCCATTCTTTTTAATGATCCACCAGTAGTAGACTACCCCATTCCTTTACCATTCCTTTAATGATCATAATCCACCAGTAGTAAACTATCACATTCCTTTAATGATGAATAATCCACCAGTAGTATTACCTCATTCCTTTAAAGATACATACTCTACCAGTAGTATTACCCCAATCCTTTTATGCTACATGATCCACCAGTAGTAGCCTACCCATTTTTTATTGTATCGTAACAATTACTCAAAATTATTCTCCAGTTTCAGACCTTGTCACTAATGGTTCATGTCCTGTGAATGGGACATTTTGATTTGTGATTCAAGAATTAAGAATTTTTAGTAATCAGAGTGATAAAATCTATTCTTTTCATGGAGGAAAGGTAGTACTGTACTAAATCATAGTGCCTAAATTTAATGGAAATGTTGTAATATTAAGTACCGGGGTATGCATTGTTTCTTAATGTTAATACTCTTGCACATTCTGCTACAGTTGTTGATGTTGGTCACACACTAACATGCTCATCATCGTCCGCTGCATGGTCAGCAATTGCTAATGCAAATGAAGTTTAAATGCCGATTGTGGTTCCTTTGATATGGGTTAGGCCTATTTGGAACTTCTATGTAGTATTTATCTGCAGGAGTTTTATTTTTGTCAATACAGTTGCAAATGGCTGGGTGAGTGTCCCATTTTCTGCCATGGGCTGGATACTGTGCATCATGCATGTCATTACAAATAAACTCACTAAGAATCTCATGACAGATGTACATACCCCAATGAACTTGTTATTTTGCAGGAAATATTGTTAAATGGCTGCAGTTAGGTGTACATGGCCTTTGTACCACCTCACAATCCCTTTGATCATACAGTAATTAGGTACATAGTACATGATTGTACTACTATTAGATGGAGTATATGGGTGGGAAACTATGAGAAGTACTGAAGTAGAAAGATCATAGTTTCCTTCAATTTAATTTTTAAGAAATGCAGGAAACTAGTATACAGCCTGTATATAGTTTCCTGCATTTCTTAGTTTCCTGCATTTTTTAAAAATTAAATTTAGCTTCCCACCCATATACTCACATCTATGTACTTAGTACCATAATTACTGTAAGATGAGATCAAAGAGACCGGAGGTGGTATACATAGGTGATCTACTTCTTAAATAAGCTAAGCAAAGTAGAGATCATCTATAGTTGCTACTGAGTGCCATGAGGTATCTTGTGTGCTTCATTTTTATTTTCTCATTATCAGTTGCTCAAGATTGTCCTCTACCATCCAACGCTAATATAGAGAATGCATTGACTACCTTACTGCTCAATGCTGATGGTAGTCAGTCATATTCTCCTAATGTAACAGGATCAGTTCAATATGTCTGTCAAGCTCAGGGGAACATGATTAATACTTATACAGAAGTTTCTCTAATTGCTACATACACTCCTAACCCAGGAGAAGCAGAAACTACTAGGATATTGTCAATGGGATGTAGCAATGGTACATGGAGTGGAAGAACTCAAGATGGACTAGATCCTCCTCCTGCCAGTGTTGTTGGTGTTTCTCCAAGAACCAATTGTTATCAATGTCGGGAAGGTTTTGGTGGTGATACTAGATGTAGAGGTAAGGCAATGATAACAATAATAATAATTGTTATTGTGATTAATTTTAGCCTGTAACAGTACATGTAATTCTGGACTGATGAGATGCACTGGATCAGGTTCTGGTGATTGCTGTTTATCATTTGCTGCTAATGGTCAGTGCAGTAATGACCTATCCTGTGCAACATCTGGTCCTTACTATGTTGCTACTGAGAGTAATAACTTCACTTGCAGTATGTTAATCGTAATTACGTGTATGCTAAGTATGATCATTATTCTTATTCCTGTTAGCTTGTAATCTAACCTGTGCTGATGGTTATGTTGTTAATTCCAATTGTACTGACTGTTATTTGGCTAGTATCTGTGATGCAGACAGTCTATGTATGAATGGAGGACAGTGTATACAGTATTCACCTCCTGATAACTACACTTGCAATTGTACTGGTACCAGATTCCAGGGAGTCAACTGTACTGGTGAGTTTGGCTTCTATTTACACATGTAGCTTACAATAGAACTAATCAACACTTATGAAGTATTTATATATTGAGTAGCACATCTCTATGATCCGTCAGAATTTATTCCAGACTATGTGTCTCATGTACCGGTACTTGTTTGTTCATACTATTGTACTTTATTGTATCATAACAATTGCTTCTCAGTTTCAGATCTTGTTACTGATGGTTCATGCCCTGCAAATGTATCATCTCTATTTGTAATTCGTGATTTAACCATCAATGTGCCTT